CCGTGGGCCTGTGGCCCACTTTTACAGAGCTGCTATAATGCAAATTTAATGCTTGAACTACTATTTTGCACTTTTTCAGTTTAATGATCATTGCCAGTTTAACCAAGTTACAAATGGTAATTGGTAGGCCTACTTATGTATGTGCCCTAATGTACATCAATGCCAAATTTGGTGTCCACTTTTGGGAAATCTCTATAAGAGTGTTTTTGTGAAATACCCAGGTTGGGTGAAAAGTTTTACCTTTGTGCAAACCTTGGGCTGAGATGATTCATTTGGCACCATTTAGTAGTTGGTGAGTCTAGCAATTTAGGAGAAACCGTTTTTTTGGAAAATACCCAGGATCCTCAAGAGGTGGGGTGAAACATTTTACCTTTGTGCAAGACCAAGACGAATTAGAATTTGGTGCATCCAGTGGTTTAGGAGGAGATAAATGATGCACACAGACACTGAATCTTATATATGCCTAAAATTAAAATTTCCCATAATTGTAACCTTTTTGACAGTTGAATTTTTCATCTCCCTGTAGAGTTTCTCATTAATTTCATGTGGTATTCTGTAACAAATTTAAAAAAAGCCTTCTTCTCATATAACCACTAACAGAAACCCAAATACATTGAACCTTATTGCTATTAGCTTTGATATCTTCAACATTTAATGGAATGCTAGTCTGTGGGTTTCCTTGCCTAAATGTTTTCTACAGTTGTTAAGTACTCCCTGGATTTCCCATTATGTGGTTCTAGGCTTGCTGTAACCCTTCAGTTGGATAATGCTAGATGAGTCTGCATTCATTAAATGTATTTGCTTTAATTGGCTTAGGGGGTTATCAAAATAATCAGTTTTGGAAGTTAAATGTTTTGTAGTGTGTTATTTATCTCCCACATTCATTTTTCTTCTCCCACATATCATAGTTCTTGAAAGTTTTAGTACTGGGGTGAGAAAATGAATTATTGTTAATATCTTGTGGTATGACCTGATTGGCTTTTTGCTTATTACATGTTAACAGTTCAAATGCAGTAGGAAATGTACCAAGAATTGAGAGAAATGGTAATAGCTCATAAACTTTTAAAATCTTGTTACTTTTACTTTAATATGTGAACAGAATAAAGCATCTATTATAAAAACATTCTGTAATGAAATATAATAACTATAAGTAATTATAAAATATATTTTAGCTAATACCTTTAAAAAGTAACTGAACTTGCAAACATAAAATAATTAAATTATAAACTAAGTTTCAGACTTGAAAGTTATTTCTTACTATTCAAGTGAGAAGTTAGTCTTTATTGTCATTTGTACAAGCGAGTGTGTTAGCAAAAACTAAAATATTGTAAAATATATATCACAAGCTTTTTATTTACATTTTTGTTGCTTTTCAAAATTATATGCAATTTATTTCAGATTTGTCTTTTGTTTTCTTCTATAATTAGGTCTTTGACATTGTTCTCAATGGTGTTCACACAGTTGTGTCAGAGTTGGATATTTTTTCAAAAGTTGGAAAAGGGGTAGCACATGATGAGTATGTTCCTTTTAAAGTAAAAGGAAATAAAATTATCGTAAATAGTGAGGAGTCTGCTCATGATGGAAAAATTAAAATTGAATTTGTGAAGGTATGTGTACATGTTTTCTGAAGTATTATTTAAAATAATAACATTGGAAAATTATTTGTACTGCTGATTCAACTGTTTTATTAGTTTAAAATTTATGTTCATCCTTATTTAGTGTGGGTGATAAATTAAAGTATTTTCATATAAGTGGGTTTACATCATCACATGAATATCTTAAATCCATTGTTTGATTTTGAATCTAGCTTCTGACCCTATTCAGTAGTCATCATCAGATTTAATGACTCCTGAAGAGAGTCAAAAGCTTGCTCTAATAAAACAAAAGTTGGATGCAAGAAATCAGTTTGGTTTAAACCCATTTTAACTTTGTTTAGGTATAGTCATTATATAATTGCATGTGTTATACATGTATGTATAGGATTAGAAATATTAGATGTAAATTAACTAGATGTTTCATTTCCCAAATAAATTTAAACTATTTTGCTTTTTATGGTCTTAAAGCTACTTTTGTATTTTCTATTCAGTTTCAGTAGAGAATGTTTCTCTTCAATCACAAAATTTTAAGTTTGTTATTGTGGTAGTTTCTCACACTACTGTTTCCAGCTTTTATTGTTATTGTTTTTACTTTTACATGTAGGGATACCAATATGGAAGTCTTTCCTTTTATTTAAATTTATTCTATCTTTTTAATGTTGGTTAGCAGATTGTTTTAAAATTGAATTTGTATTTAAAGAAATGCAGAATATAAAATAATAAACATTTAAATAGAGGCTAATCATAACTGAAGTTACAGTTTGACTAAATGAAGAAAGATGGAGCATTAATATACAAGTATAAATAATAAAAAAAATCATCCTTGTGGGTTACAAAATAATCATTATACAAGTGAGGCATGACTAGGATAGAGGACTTATGTGAGAAGTGTGAAATGGAAATGATTTATAGTACACTGATTGATCCACCTTAATTTGTTGAAAAGTGTCATTGAATAGGAGAAATTGTAGTTCTTTAAATTCAGTTAGATACACTCATCTATGAAACACTGAAACCTTTCCTTTTTTGAATCTGAACTCATGCTGTCAGCAAAACAAGTCTGAAATTTCTGAATGTCTTTCTGCATCTCAAAGCATGTGTCATTTATCCAGAAATTTCCACTCTCTCACCATCCATATGTAACAGATGGTTGATATGTATGCCAATACCCACTACATATAGTATTTATGTAATACCAAGATGAGCAGTCACGAGTGCACAAGCCATTATCTCAATGAAATTTATATAAAAAATCAAGAATCACCAGACACATATATTTTTATTGTACACAAGTAAACATATTACATGAATCTACTTTACTTTAGTACATTACTTTTGGACAATTCTTCTAAAATAGTCAACAGTAACTCTGTTATTCTAATCAACAGTTGAGTCAGAACTTTTAATCTTGTCCTAATAGACATGTCAGATAAACTTTACTAGAGCTAATGTAATATGGCAATATGAACTTAAATAGAGGTTGGATGGTACCAGTATTCTATTGTAGTATTCTTATGGATATCAGAATAGACTGTCAGCTGACTCCCTTCTCATTTTCTCTTGTTCAATCTTGCTCTTGATGACTTTCTTTTCTGCTGGCTCTTTTGCTGTAGGTTATACCTCAGCTTTTATAATCAGGAAAAAGAATGTTTGTGTCATCCAAAGTCAGAACTGAAACCACAACTAGGATACATGATTTGTTACTATTTGCTGTGAATTCTCAGGTGTTGTTATTAGAATTCTTAAGCTCATCTAAGGCCATTTAACCTCTGGCCTTGCACTTGCTTTTCTAACCGAACATCCACCCTTGCAAGCTCTGAGTTTCTTTCATTCTTCTGCTTAATTCATTGCTAATGATCTTGTTTCTAGATATGTGATGTCATTACTCATATATTTCCTAATGTTTATGTCCGTTTTTATGAACATCCAACCAGCTTAGTTGAATCATGAATATATGTTTTTGGTGATGACATAAGCTGCCCAATCTTCTTCAAGAATTCCTGAAGTCTAGCATTTGAATAAAAATTTACTGCTAACACACTTTCCCTGTCCTAACTGACTTCGTTACTAGGTCAATTAGGACTTTACTTGCCTATGAGAGTTTTAACTGCAATATAACTGCCCTGCATTTTTATTGTCTCTCTCTCTCTCTCCTTTTTTTTGCTATAGTTAAGCCATGTAAAAGTTAGTCAACATTAAATGCCTTTTCTACAAAACATTTGCTTTATGTACATTTGCTTTCATTTGTGACTTACCATGCAAGTGTCAGGGGATCTTACATAAACTCTGCTTTCCCACCATAAATTACATTTTATTGTTGATTGTTGGAGATGCAAGACTGTTTAATGTAAGAGTTATTATTTATTGACCTAATATTTAATGATTATTTAGTTTTCATGACAAGTTTTAAAAGTTAATTATTTTAAAAGCAATAGTTGTAACAAATTTTGTTATGTAACTCAGTAAGAGTTTTGCACTGTGTGTGTGTAGTTCAGTTGTTGTAATTTTACATCACATTACTCAAACTTTCTGTATTTTTCTCATTGTCTTAAGTAAGTATTGTTACATCGTAGCGTCTTGTAGTTTGTAGAAAGCTCTAGGCATCAGTTGGTCAATGTGTATATACAGGCGACCAAGTAAGCTCAAGTTAAGTCAGAAAATGTTAAGTTTGTGAAAGTGAAGTTAGACTGTGTGATTGTTAGTTTAGTCTATTGGTGATATTTTAAATGGGTTTCACAGTTTCACATATCTATGAGGTTCCTATGTTCATTCAGAATGCCACCAGTGGTGGTGGTGGTGTTGACTATTGTGTACCTTTGGGGTTTGTGATGGGCTTGGCTCCAAGAACTTCTAGACGTGTGGAAAACCTTAACCATAGATCCATGAGCACTACAGGTCCTTGAGTCAGGATTATTTTTTCAGTTCATGTGTTCACCACCATTATCCACCCAACCTGTAGTGTTTACACCTACCGAAAATACTCGGATTTTGGAACTTCATTCTATGGCTGTCAAAGTTTCATTGGTCTAGGGAGTGGTGAAGAGAGAGTCATCCCAGTTATTATAGGGTTTTATTCTCATCTGTTTGTTGTGCCCAAAAAGACAGGAGATTGGCATCCAGTCATTGATTTTTCTCATGTGTATCAATTCCTATATCCTCCAAGGCTCACAATAGAGTCAGTCCTCACTCTGCATTGGCATTTTTTTGACTAGGATTGTGTATGTCCAAGTTTGATGTCGCCGACTCCTCTCTGTACGTTTCCATAGTGGTGGTGTCCTCTGCTATCTGCATTTTGTGCATCAGGGTCAGGTGCTGCAGTTTAGGGCACTGCCCTTCGGACTAGCATAGGCACCATATGTGTTCTGCCAAAATGTTCGAGTTTTTCTCATCACTTCTTTTCCCTAAACTGTGCACATACCATTCCATAGATGACTGGTAGTATACTGGTGGCACATCTCATTAGTAGGCAGAATGTCACACCCAGATTCTACTTTCAGAAGCAACCAAGGCAGGCTTCATTATTAGAGCTGAGAAATTTATTCTCACTCCAACACAATATATCTAGGTATCTTTTCAACACATATCTCAGTTGGGCTCAGCCGACTCCCATTTGGCCCCAAGCTGTGGAACAGGCAGTCCAACTCTTACACACCTCTCCTGCATGGATGGTTCTTTCTCTTTTGGGGATGTGGGCATCACTTGAATCCCTCATTCCTTTGGGACAAGCACACAAGAGATCATGAACAGTGATTCACTGGATTCACTAGTTTTCTTATTCAGGATCATTATCTTCGATCTCAAGTGGTAGTTAGATAAGAATAATATTACGATTTGTATTCCTCTGCCACCACTTCATCCAGAGATCCATCTCTTCATGGATGCCTCATTTCAGGGACGGGATGCATATCTCAACAGTCGGGAATTCCAGGATCTATGCATCGATGACAAGGTTTCCCAACACAATGCTTTAGAACTTATTGCTGTTGAAAGGGCAATGTTTCATGGTCTGGGCTTACTAAAGGGAAAATCATCAGGCTTTACTTTGACAATTCCATAGTGTTGTCTTACATTTCCCATCAAGGAGCACTTGCTCCAGGAATCTTTGTTTTCAACCCTTGGATCTTATTTCTTGGAACCACTCCTATCATATCACCCTATTAGCTTGCCATGTTCCAGGGGTGATAAATTTGGTGGCAAATCAATTGTCTTGACCAAACAGATTTTCCCGACAGTGAGGTTTTCTGTTGGATTGGCTCTCATTTCAATACACTGTTGATTGGAACACCCAACTACTGGCATTTTGGTCTTTGATACCTCACCCTCAGGTATTGGTAATGGATGCATTCCATCAGGACAGGATAAGATTACACCTCTAGGCCTCCCCACCTATTTGTATGTTACCCAAGATATTAGGTATGATTCGTTCCAACCCATTGTTGGGTCCTGTTGACAGCACCAGATTGGTAGCTGAACCCTGGTTTCTGCTTCTGCGGTAACTTTAGGAGTGCCTACCTCTTTGGCCATCTCTGTTGAGGCAGCCACAATCTGACATTGTAAGCCTAGCCATCATGAAGTTCAAACTTCAGGCATGGAGCTTATGCAGTCCTTCGTGTGACATCAGGGTTTAATTTATAAGGTTGCAATGTAACTGTCTCTGTCTTTACTTAGTCCAACAATAGACATTTATCAGCAGAAATGGCACACATGTCGACAATGGTATAGTAAGAGGTGGTTCAACCCACTTTGACCAGAAGTGACAGCCATAACTCGTTTTATCACTTGGCTCTTTGACAAGGGTTTTGCATCTTCTACAGTTGCCTTGTATAAGGCGGCCTAACCAACTACCTTTAGATACTCGAGACGAAAATTGAGTCCCCGGTACTCTCTAGCCTCTTCGCATCATTTTGGATCCTTTGTCCCAAACAATCGTTTCAGTTATCTTATTGGTATATTAAGCTGGTATTACAAGCCATTTCTCAACATCCATATGAGACCTTAGCCTCATGTACCATGTATCACCTTTCCCTGAAGGTTTACTTTTCATTGCTGCTAGCCTACAATCATTGCTGGTCTGAGTTGTTTGCGATGATTGTGCACGGGATTTTTTATCATTCTACTTACATCCTCCGACAAGTTCTTCAGACACTTGCAGCCAGGGAAGGTGTTCAATCCTTTTTTACTGATTCATCTGACAACTATTTCTCACTTCTATGAGGGATTGGATCTCGATCCTTTATTATGTCCAATGAGGGTCTTGAAGTGTTATGTTGCCTGCACTAATGCCTTTAAAAGTGCCAGACAATGACTTTTTATCCATTGGGATCCTTCAGTTTATTGAGATTTATCCCCAGTTACTTTGTCTGAGGTGGGTATGGAAACTGTTCCATATATCTTTTTCTGGTCTCTCTTTGAAGGTGAGGAGTCTTCTGCGAGTCATGTCTCTTTAGATATGTCACATTTTTATCTCCTTAGTGGCCCGGTTGAATTGCCTGCTGGAGGACATTGCATGGGCTGGTATGTGGACCTCCTCCAATACTTTTGTCTCACATTATTTGCATGATCTGGCAGTATCTTTCTCAAAGGGTTTTTGACTACTCCAGTAGCTATCTAAACTACATCCACTAGATTATAAGGAGGTCAGTGAGTATCTTCATTACTAATAATTTCTCTCCTTTATTTTCCAGGGTCCCATACCTGTTTTTAACAGGATCCCACTCTGTTGAGAGTATTGTCCAAGCAGATATGCTTTTATCAAACCAATTCCACACTAGCAACCACTAACACAATATATTTTATCTAGATTGCAACAGACTCTGTAGAAATGATGTGTTCCATAAGATCACCTAGAGGCAGGCGTGGTATTATTGCTGTAATAAGATGGACTGAATAAGGGGATCCTGCTGGTCTCTGTCGATCCTTAGATTGAATAAATCAGGGTTGGTTTACTTTTAAAAATTTAGGGAACTTGGTTCACCTATAACACTGTTCCTTGGAACTCCCCAGTGTGCATTACCCCCCTCATTTCCTACTAGTTGAGCTATGGAGTCCTTACCACATCTGGTTTCCAGTCACTGGGGTAGTGGATAGAAGCTATTACTCCAGAGTGTCGAGTGACTTTCCTCCACTCTTTGAGAAAAGAGTGAAGTTGGGGGCTCTCCCACCCTGGTTCTTGGATGTTTTTTTCCCAGATGTTGGTAAGAGAGGCACCAGCCTATGCAGGAGCCTACTTGTAATACCTGTTCAGATTTGATGCTCTGCTATCTAGTTAGGTTTGGTGTGGCTCTTCTTTTTGATCAATATCAGTTCGTGGAAGAGGGTCTATTGTCACTTCATAATTTCGAATGCAGAGTGGTCCCATCCTGGTTCCTTGGTTGAGCACAGTTTGTTTTACATCCTCCTCATAATGAGGGTTCATAATTCCAGACGTCATTCTGAATTTGGAGTGTTGCCTTTCAGATTTCTTCAGGTTCAGGAGAAGGTTTGTCCATTTCGATGTGTTGCTTACCTTCTTGTCGTGATTCCAGTGGCTTGGAATGCATCACTCTATAGCTACAGGTTGGGATCCATTCACACACACATATATATATATATATTGGGGTTCAAATGCCCTAGCCACAAACACACACATGGGATTTACGAACCACTGCCCTATAATTTCAACCCAGAGTAGTGGGAGCAAAGCTATCTGGATGGGATCTGGCCTATAATGATGATGAATTATTTCAAATTCCACCCAAATGGCATGTTTTAGGGTACTGGGTGAAGAGCACACCTATTATGGAAAACTTACCTCCTTTCACACACACCCACCCTTCCTCCGCACTAGGAGCTGGTATTAGAGGCTGTGGATTGGGTCATTCTCGAAAAAGTGATAATATTATCTGAATGAGAGAGGGCACAGTGACATAAGTGGAAAATGTCACATGAAAGATATTGCCAAGGGCAATTAAGCGGGGAATAAAAGACTGGAGCAAGCGAGAAAATTTCAGACCAATACTTAGATTGGCAAAGGAAGGAAACCCTAGCAGTCAAGTAACAGCTTTAGCATGAGAGGAGGTAAGTATTACTGAAAATACATTTTCAATTTAAGAAAATGTTAACTTTCTCTAGTTTACAAGAATTTCAGTGAAATTCATTATTTACTGCAGTACGAACTAGTTTTGTGCAAAAGAATTTATTAATAATAAAAATGAAATATATTTGCCTGTTCAAAGCAAACTAACCAATTCCAGTCATTTGTTAACAACATCTGACACACAATGTCAGACAGTTACAATTTTTAATTCAATAAAGTTGGTCCTTTTGTTACTTCATTGAAAAATATTCAACCAAATACATGCACTATTATATGAAGGATAACTAGTTTGTGTGCTTATCAAATTTAACTAAAAGTTTCAAAGATTAGATTAAATACTACAACAAAATCAAAGAATTGAAAAGCAGAGAATTTGCTGTCTTAACCTTTAGAGTGTACACGTAAGCCTAAACCTAGGAGTTGGCAGAACTGTAATTTATTTCTATGAGGGTTAAACCATATATTTAAGAATCCAAGCACACAGGACACCCATAATTTCCAAACCTACTTTTACAGCTGTACTTTGGTAGCTGAATGATATGTTTTAGAAATGAAAACTTCTTGAAAAGTGAAACTGTTCGATATATTTCTGGATGATTCTGTATAATTTATTAGGTTTCTTGAAAAGAGAAAGACTTGCATGTACTATAAATGTATTTATTAATTTGACAACTTTTACAAACAATACATTTACATTTGGATATAGATTCATTATATGAAAGTCCTGTGTGCATATAATTTTATATTATTCTACATAATATTGTAGAATACACAAGTGCTCAAATGTGTGATTATCTGTATGTTTTGTATTTGTGTACACAAAACAATTGTACAAAAGATATGATATTTCACAGAATATTGTTTTACATAGGACTTTTTTTTTCTACATTGTGTTTAGGGTTATAGAGACAATCCAAAGGTAAATGCAATCTTAGTGATGCGGGGAACAGTAAATCGTAAGTGAAATTGCTTGTTTTAATCTTTTGTGATACTCTTTTTAATGTATTTTTTAAGCATGAGTTGCATTACTTTTATTTAAATGGTGAATACTTGTTTTTATATTATTAGGAGGAAAAGC